CTCATTTTAAAGGCTTCTCTGCTGCTGAAAATGCAGAGTACGAACTGAATCTAAGAATCAACATGCAAGTTGGAAGCTTCTTTCTTTTATTCCTAGAGATCTTAAACAACCTCCCCTCCCTCTGCATCTAATCCTCGTCTTTCTGTCAAAAACATCAATGTACCAAAAACGTGACATTTGCTTTTGTGACTCACCTTGAATTTTGGTTTGTCTGATGTGTCTTGCTACAGCTGGTACCCACACAGTAACTCCACTGATGTGAGCCTGTTTGCAGAGATACTGCGGTTAGCCCAGTAATAGCTAAAGATGCGGCACTGCTATGCTGACTCTCCTTCAGCTGCATTTCAACTACACAAGTCACACACACTGCTTGTGCAGCAAGTCCTGGGTAGTTCATCACGGGGAGAAAAAGTCTGCCTTGCTCTTCTTCGGCACTGAAATCAGGAGTTTTTGCAAAACATAAAGCAGAAAATCTTTAAAATAACAATTAACAGTTTATTGCAAATTTTCTCAGTAGCTAATTCACTATTTATGTTAGCAATTAACTGAAATGAAGAACTAGGTCATGACGATAATTTAACCATAGATTTCAAATGGCAAGGCAGGAAAAAGAGAGAGCGAGAGCAAATGTTTAAATCCTATATCCTATAGTAATGAGTTTTAGATAAGGGAAACTTTTTGCAAGCTTTGTTTTCCATCTTCTGTAATGGCCTGAGAGGTTGCAAACTGAAAATGGCTTTGTCAGAGCTTCTAGAGTTTCCAGGGCAATTTATCAATTGTCCATTTACTTTTATTCCACACAGAATACCCAGCAAATCAGACCTGGCGCCAGGGGTTGGAATGATCAGGAATGGAATGGTCAGTGACTCAAGCCCTGAGTGAGGTCACAAACCTAGGTCACCTGAGCTTGTCAGCAATACTTTCCCTGGAGGCTGGGCAGCTGTGAACACAAGAAGGCCAAAGACCCATTTTCTCCAGAATCCTGTTCTTACAGTGGCAAACCAGATGCCTATGGGATGCCTGCAAACAGGATCTGAGTGCAACAACACTCTCCTCACTTGTTATTCTCAGCAACTTGTATTCAGAGGGATGCTACCTCTGATGCTGAAGGAAGGACATAGTCATCGTGGCTAGTAACCATTGATAGACTTTTCCTCCATGTGGTCGTGTGGTTGATACACACTCTTTTACTTTCCTTTGGGGCCCTAAACTAGTGTCACTCCGGAGCAACTCCATAGGCATTGTGGGAGTATTAAAATGGTGGGTGACACGGGTAGCACTGGTTGTCTAGACGAGTCTTTTTTGCTGCTGCTGTGCATGCCTGAGGATAGTAAGGTAAGGGGAGGAAGGGGGGCACTCTGATGGGGTCCCTGCCAAACCAGGTGCCCACCTTGTGTCCAATTCTTGCAGAAGTGAAAAGGGCCTTTCTGTCAGCATCACCCCTGAGCCAGTGCCACCAACTGGACTCATCCACTTCAGCCCCAACTGGGCTAGGCAAGCTGGGTAGCACTTCCAGAGACCACCTTCTGCACAGGAACAGGTCAAAGTGCTGTGGACTCACAGCTTAGAGTTGTGAGCACCGGATTCACTTCCACAAGAAGACAGTCATCGCACAGCAGAGTATAGCAGAGCATAAACGACTCGGAGAGCAGCTCTGTAGAATATCTTCTTTATTCTATCTACAACTATAATACAAACTATATACAGAGCTAAATGAGGTCTAAACGAAAATGCTGAACTGCACTGAGTGTCTGCAGCTGCTCTTAGCAGCAACCTTATCTACAGAGATCACACACAGTCTCCAACACTCAGTCTCTCTCTCTCTCTCTTTGATGTGAGGCTGGAGCGGAATAAGTAGAGAGCAGAAACCACCCCCTCCTCTCTGGAAAATCAGCAGAGAACATCAGCAGATTCTTGGAATGGGAGGGGTGAAATCTCCTCACTTTCCCCCTTCATCCAGTTAAACACCAGCACAGCAGATTAGCACTGTTGTGTTGTAGCAACTTCTCCTTTATATTCAGAATCCACTAAGTTGCCAACTGAGGAGAAACTAGGAGGAGGAAGTGAGCCACAAGTCAGGGATGACGAACAAGAGTCAGGACCAGATGACAAACCAGGAAGCAGAATTAAGGAGCAAGATGGCAGCCAGAACCAAAGGATGCAGGTGCCTGCCAGATCTCAGGAAGGCCTTATTGCCTCAAGCAAGTTTTAGTTGGAAGAGGACACCCACTTGCTTTCTGTGCTGTCTAGGGGGAGCCAATGACCAGCCTTGGTGGATGAGGACATTCCAGGAGCCTAAGAAACCTAGTTATCATAAGAACATAAGAAAAACCAGTTGGGTCAGAACAAGGGTCCATCTAGTCCAGCATCCTTTACTCACACTGGCCACCCAAATACCTTTGTGTCAGCTTCGTTCCAGAGCTGACAGAGGCTGGGAATCTAAGCAAGCCAAGGGAGATAAGGACACTGGAATGTGAACTGGAATGTGAGAGGGAGGAGGGGAAGCCGAGTGGTATAGCTTCAGAAAAATTCAGAGAGCAAGCAGAAGATAGCTCAGAGATAGAAGGGGAGAGGCTGGGAAGAGCCAGCCCAAAAACTCGAAGGCGTGAAAAGGTCAGTGAGAGGAGGGGAAAAGAGCAGAAGCGAAAGTGTTTTTTCCTCTGTTGAAAGAAGAGGAAGGGGCGGAGTTTAGACTCGGAAACTGCTAACTTGGAGTCAGACATGGAGTGAAGGAGCTCCGGAGTGATTTATGTGTTTGAGCAATAAACCTGAGATAATTACTGCCAGTGTCTCGCTTCTGTGGGAGAGCCAAGCCATTACACTTTGGGAAGCCCACAGGCAAGACCTAAGCACAACTGCACTCTCTCCTCTTGTGGTTTCTGGCGACTAGTCCTCATATTCTCATATAACCACTATTTTATTTTATTTTTTAAAAAACTGCACTGGTTGCCAGTTCATTTCCAGGCCCAATTCAAGGCGCTCACATGAGAGCCTTAAACAATCCAGGCCCCAAATATCTGAAATACTGTTTCCTTTTCTGCAGACCCTCTTGGGTGCTGAGATGGGCAGAGAGGCCTCCCCTTGATAGTTCCTCCACCCTCAAAGCCTTGGGGTTGGTGGCCCAGGAGAGGGCATTCTCTGTGGCAGCCCCTACGCTGTGGAAATCCCTCTCCACAGCTTCTGGTGAACGCTGAAGATGCACCTCTTTGCTGTGGATACCTGGAGTGTACTTTATTAGGAACCACCTTGCTTTTTTGTGGTTTTTAAGCAGTTTTTAATATTGTGGCACCACCTGACAGATTCTGGAGAGCTGCTGCTAGTCAAAGTAGAGTTTACTGGGCTAGTGGGGAAACAGTCTGGCAAATGGTGGGCAAAGAGCCTGACAGCTTTCCATGAGCTGTTTCCACCTCAAGACCTGTCAGAACTGTTATATCCAGGGTGTTGTTTTTTTAAGATGGAACTCACCGTAACTCATGGTGTAGTGGTTAAGAGCGGTAGATTCGTAATCTGGGGAACTGGGTTCGCGTCTCCGTTCCTCCACATGCAGCTGCTGGGTGACCTTGGGCCAGTCACGCTTCTCTGAAGTCTCTCAGCCCCACTCACCTCACAGAGTGTTTGTTGTGGGGGAGGAAGGGAAAGGAGAATGTTAGCCGCTTTGAGACTCCTTAGGGTAGTGATAAAGCAGGATATCAAATCCAAACTCTTCTTCTTCTTCTTCTTCTTCATTTCCAGCTCCTCTCAGGTGGGAACCATTGCCATTCTTAGAGAACAAGTGAGCCATTCATGGTGAGTTCTGGCACCCCTTTTTCTAGAAAAATAGCATTGATTATATCTATCCAACCAGTATCCTTGAGTGGGAAAGCTCCTTAAAACATTGGCACTATATGGAGCATGGAGATGAAGCAGCAACGGGACAAGAATCTGCCAAGAGTGGATTATGGTCCCTGAATTATCCAGATTTCCTTTCTTGCAATTCTCCTGACTCATCACATTTGCACAGATTGCAGTTGTGTCATTCCACAAATCTATTACAAATGCAAACTAAATAAAAACATTTACTCTCTCTTTAAAAAGAAAAGAAAAAGAAAGAAACAACAACCCACAAACATAAAGTATTGGGGAAGATTTAATCACATAATGGTAGCTCTATTAGGACATCAAAATTAATTTCAGTTTCCCTGAGGTATCGTATTTTAATTAAGAAATCCATGCTTTTACTCTATTAATTAGCATACTGAAAGAATAATAAGTTTCAGATGAGTTTAATTGTAATAAAGCATTTCATCTCTTAAAAAAATAATAATAAAAGGAAGTAAGGGTCTCAATCCAATTTATTTTCTACATTTAATAGCAATGTTTAGAGACGCTATTCAGTATAGCTGCCGAGTAATCTTTTTTAAAATTCATGTAAGTTTTGTGTGTGTACTTAATTCCTTTTGAATATCTTGCTCATGGATGCAGACATTATTCTGTCCCCCCCAGCAGTTGTTATTTCTGCTAGGCATCAAATCAGTTCATTCTTCATATTGTTTTCCTTGCTATTAACATAGATAACCAAAAAGAAGGTTGTTAAAAAAACCTTTTGCACTGATCAACTCAAGTGGCTGTTTCCCATTAACATTCCATTAGAATGAATAGCAGGTTTGGATGAAGCAGATGCATTCCCTGCACAGCATGTTCTCTACGTCTGATGATACCTGGTAAATTCAGTGGTCAGTAAGCAATTGATAAATTACCGGACAAATCCCAGAACATTTTTTTTAAAAAAATGCACAGAGCAGGCTTGCCCATTAAATACTGTGCAATGCACAAGAGGCAAGCCTATCTCCTTAATTTATCTTTGAATGCATCCAGTTTTTCTTTTCCCCATGTGTAACCCACAGGGAATACTTGCTGTACTCAGCGATATTTTCAAATGCGATCGGTAATTTTCAAACATCCAAGCTGAAACACAGCAGCTTCTCCTATGATTCTGCCCCTGATTATTTATCAGGCTTTACCAACAAAGTCTCCGCAGAGTGCAACGAAAACACCTCCCCAGTTTGGTGGGCCGTCAATGGGGCTGCCGAAGGCCGGAGATGTTTTCAGCACAAAATTCATCCAAGTGCCATTGATAGGCAGGCCAAGAGCATAATCTCCACAGAAAGAAATCTCCACTGGAAAGAGAAAAACTGGTTAAGTTGCCAAATGGGGAAAAAGTTGCATCTCTGGGAGGGGGCATTTAAATTAGTGTGGTGCTGAAGACTGTTCTGAATAATTCTCTGAATTTGAGTCTGTGTCTGTGTGTTAGGTATGGGTTGAAAGGGAATCCCATTTGGGGGGACGTATTTAAATAGATGTGGGAAAGCTTTAACCCTTCAGATATTGTTTAAAATCAGCACCCATAATCACATTTGCTGAGGCTGATGGGAGTTGTAGTTCAGTGACATCTGAAGTGTCAAAGCTTCTTCACCCCATTTTAAATTGTAGTGTTAGTTGGCTATTCATTTCCTCCATCTTCTTTCTTCCATGTCATTGATCCACTGATGCAAGTAGCTGTACTTGTTCCCCCCAAATTGCCTGTTAGTCATAGCTGTCAACTTTTCCCTTTTCTTGCAAGGAATCCTATTCGGCATAAGGAAATTTCCCTTAAAAAAAGGAAAACATTGACAACTATGCTGTTAGTCTGATGCTCTAACATGGGTATGCAATTTAAAGCACATGGCTTCCCCCAAAGGATCCTGGGAACTGTAGTTTGTGAAACATGCTGGGAATTGTAGCTTCCCTGTATGAAGTTTACAACGTGTTTAATTGAATCACTTCTTTGATGTGTCTAGATCCAGCCATAGACAGTGTGATCTGCCTCTGGTTCTTCAAACCTCTGCTTGCTGTCTCTGGAATGTGACATGCTTCTCATTTTAGACCATGCATCCTGCCTTTGGCATCTTTCCCCCCTCCCACCCACGAGAACTGTTCCTGCTACCCACCGGAAGAAAGAAGCTTGGAAGATCCCTCCACTCCAGTCTCTATTGCCCTGTCTGACTTCCTCAGAGAGTAATGAAGTGCAGGAGACTATGGGAAATGTCGTTCTCCTAAGTTCTTCTGCCATCAACCTGATTTGTAAAGCTTGGATCCTAACTCGGCATCTGCAAACAAGGGTTCTTCCATGCATGGACTGAGGTACAGAAGAGGATCCTTCCAGCGGAAGTGGGAAAGGCAATTTATTGCTGATTATTCTTTCTCCCTGCAGGCACCTCTACTCTCTCTCATGCCATTCTCTCATGAAAGCAGAAGTCTGTTTAGGGCAGCCTTTCTCAACCTTGGGTCCCCAGATGTTTTGGGCCTACAACTCCCATCATCCCTGACCACTGGTCCTGTGAGCTAGGGATCATGGGAGTTGTAGGCCAAAAACATCTGGGGACCCAAGGCTGAGAACCACTAGTTTAGGGGAAGCTCTCATTAAGAGAAGTCTAGATTGGTCAAAACCTGTCTATCTATTCCAGGAGCGGCTAATCTGTGACCCTGCAATGTTGTTAGATTCCAACTCCCATCTGCCTCCGAAACCATGACCAATGCTCAGAGATGATGCGAGCTGGAGTCAATCCGGAGAGCTAGAGTTTAGAAAACCCAATCTAGTCCCTCAATCCAGCTACAAGCTTTACATGCAGAAGGTTCTGCGTTCCAGCCCTGTCATCTCCAGTGAGGGCTGAGCTGGGAGTCCTGCCTGAAACCTCATAGAACTACTGTCAGTCAGTGTAGACAAGTACTGAACTGGACAGACCAAGGCCTGACTCAGTTTAAGGCAGCTTCCTATGTTCCTATATACCTGCTGTGCTGGTATATGTAGCTGCAGCACCTGTGCTGTGTATTAAGTTGCCGAGGCTGGAAAGCAAACCCTGAGGAAAAGAATTGCCTTTGTGCACCACGGCACCTGCAGAATACTTTCTCCCTCGCCTTCATCTGGCGTGTTGTATTTCTCACAGCAGCGCTCAGTGGAATTCTACACTGCCCATCTGCTAACAATGCCATCAATTATAAGTGAGCCAAAAGCACCATCCAAGGCTGGCGCCACCCGGCCTCTGTGCCCCATTTCCATCCTCCACATTTAATCGTGATCAAATTTTATATTCATCGAGAGAGAGAAAACCTTCACATGCTGCCATGTCACACTAGCAACACAAGGCTGCATTCGCATGGCAGTTTATTCCATTGCCATGACTTTCCCCCTAACTGTTAACATAATAACTCAGCTGGTGTAAAAGCCTTTTCTGGAACTGTAATGGAATACATTGTCGTAGAATTCTACTCAGTATTGATCCAGAGCAGATTCCAATGTATAGTTAGCAGAATAAAAACTGAAACATGTTGCAGGATTCCCAGAGGCAATTGTATTTCATCCAGCATAGCTTTACTGCTGCTGAAGGCAAATGAGCATAATGGTCACAAATCCAATACAGTGGTACCTTGGGTTACATACGCTTCAGGTTACAGACTCCACTAACCCAGAAATAGTACTTCAGGTTAAGAACTTTGCTTCAGGATGAGAACAGAAATCATGCTCCGGCCTCGCAGCGGCAGCGGGAGGCCCCATTAGCTAAAGTGGTGCTTTAGGTTAAGAACAGTTTCAGGTTAAGAACGGACCTCCGGAACGAATTAAGTACTTAGCCACTGTACATTCAGGATTGGCACTGTCCATAAGTAATCCAGTTGCAGCAGACTTAACTTAAACTTGCAATAACTTATAATAATTCTAAACCTTAACACTAAGCACATTATGTACAGAACACCACACCAGAATGAAAAGAAATAGAAAGATAAAGTGAAATCCAGGCTCCTTCTGGCCTTACTTTTATAGTCAGCATGACCTTGACAGAAAGAGAAGCTTAAGCCAGCTGTACTCAACTTCTCTGAAGGAATAACCCAAATATCACGAACCTTTTGCTTGTTTCTTTCACACAGAGAAGCTTCCAGAACCCTATTGAATTAATTAGAATAGGAAAGATCTCTACACATCAGATCAATACTTTCTGTACTAAGAAATGCAAACGGACATATATTACAAATTTAGGGTTCATTTCCATGCTCCTTGCTTCCAGAATAAATCCATTCACAAATAAGATGGGAAAGGAGTGCTGCCAGTGGGCGCTTCTAGACTTTTGCTGTTTTGAGTGGGATTCAATCACATACCTGCAAATGTGGGTAATTCAACTGTTGTTGATTTGGATCTCCTGTGCAACAAACTCAGTTCTCCCCAAAGATCGGGCTATTTGCAATAAGGAAAGTGATGGGGACATGCACTGGAAAGCATGGAGTAGCACTAACGTCCCCGCAAACAAATATTATTGTTCATTAAATAGTTGATGCCATTTCCAGAGTTCAGGATGAACATCAGCGATGGCTTGTGCCTATTGGAAGGCAGGCAGAGCAGCAGTAGGTGGCGCCAGAGCCAATGACAGGCAAAGCCAACAAATTCTTGTTTTGTCCCCATCTTCCTCCTCCCTTCTGAATTCTACAAGTTGCAACACAGAGACTCACAGCCAGGGCCACCTCCTGGACTTGCTTGTAAGTAAGGGATGCGGGTGGTGCTGTGGTCTAAACCACTGAGCCTCTTGGGCTAGCTGATCAGAAGGTCGGCAGTTCGATTCCCCGCAATGGAACGGGGTGAGCTTTCATTGCTAGGTCCCAGCTCTTGCCAACCTAGCAGTTTGAAAGCACGCCAAAAGTGCAAGTAGATAAATAGATACCGCTCCGGCAGGAAAGTAAACGGTTTTTCCGTGCGCTGCTCTGGTTTCAGTGTTCCACTGCGCCAGAAGCGGCTTAGTCATGCTGGCCACATGACCTGGAAAAACTGTCTATGGACTAACCCCAGCTCCCTCAGCCTGTAAAGCAAGATGAGCGCCACAGCCCCAGAGTCGTCTGCGACTGGACTTAACTGCCAGGGGTCCTTTACCTTTACCTTTTTAAGAAGGCAGGCAGATGGGGGATGGCTGAGGACGACAAAGGTTGTATGAACCAGCCTCCACGGATGCATGCTCAATAAACAAGTTGCCTGGGAATGTCCAGTGAGTGAGATTTCTCCACTGGCTTCCAAGCCAGGGGGGAGAGTGGGAGAATCTCACTCACTGGCAGCCAGACTCCAATCATACCGGTGTCCTTCTCACTGCATCCTCCCTTAATAGCCAGTCATGATCAGTTTCCTTTCTGCCTCATCCTCAGGACACACACACACACACACACCCCGCAGGGAAAACATGGTGTGAAATTGATGACATCTTTAATAGTATCTTAAGCAATGCAAAAAAGATCAGGTGGTTGAGTGCAGCCACAACGTCAAAGTCCTCTCTAACACCTTCCTTTTTGTGAAAAATTGAATTCCATGTGTGCTCGTGTGACGTTGGAGAGAGACTGAGTTGAGAAATAAGATATAGGAATGTATTAGATAAAATGTAAAGAAATATACAATAATAAGAGTACATTCATTTGTAAAAAAGGAATATACAATGTGATAGGCAGGAAGTCCAAAGTGTTGGTACATATATGATTTTGGAATAGTTTTTGTCCTTTTCTTTAGGTATATAAACTTTGTATATAAACTTTGTATACATGCTGAAAATTATATTATTATAAGCCTTGTGATGTAATATGATAATATTTACCGATGTAACATAAGAACGTTAATAAAGAAATAAAACTCCAAAAAGAAAAAAAGGAAAAAAAGAAAAAAAGAATTCCATGTGTGCTTATTATTATTATTTTTAAAAGAAAGAAATACACCTCTGCATACCTTAGGGTTCCCTTGGATATGCAGAAATCTCTTTCTTGCTTCTCAATGAGCTCATTTTGTATCCAAAGCAGTTGGCATAGGACTGCTAACTTTTAGAGGTGATGATCAGAAAACAGAGCAGCTCCCATTTTTACCAAAGAATGGCCCAAATTCTACCACCCGTCAATCCAATTCAAAAGCAGTCATAACGTTTGGATTTACTTGGATAATTCAGACATAAATATATATTCCAAAGAACAATAGATTGTATAGGCTCTAGCATTTGGTAAATGGTTATTAAATCTAGGCATTTACAAAAGCATTAGGGAAACATCCTTGGTATTTATGTGCCATTTTATTTCCTTCTAAGTGAAATGCCGAATCCATACAGTTTTACAATGAAGATGATTATGG